AGAAGCTGATACAAGAAGAAGGTTTATTTATTTTTTGTTTAAACACCATGTACTTTTTTGTCAATAGTTATCTTTAATCCTGATTTACAGGTTCTATCAATTCATGTATTCATCTCTACCCTTATAAACAACAAGTGTATAATCGCCAAACGCATAATAGATTGCCATTACATAAGAGTCAATTAATATACCAATACACGGCCTTTATTTGGCACCACACGTGGTAGTGACTAAAGTGTCGTTTGCCAAATTTGTTTTTCTTAATTTACTATTAGGTGCACAGGCTGATAGCTTAAAGTCACACTTCACACTTTACGCAATCCTGGGGAATTTTAGACCAAGCAGTAGAAAGAGGCGTATCGACATACTTCTTGTATCCACAGTGTTAGTAGACGTTTGTACCGTTATTTTCGATAGACTTCGTAATTATCAAGACTTGTCAGTTTTTGACATACGACCTAAGAAGACTATACTTCGTTTCAGTAAAAGTGTTACAGTAAAAGTAAAAAAATTGGGTTTCTTACACTTAGGTATGACCAAATATGCGTTTATATTATGAGTCACCAATTTTATACCACCAATTACATTTTAAAACTCGTGAATGAACTAGCAAAGTCAGCAGCCGTTAACAAGTCAAAGATCGTAAAAGCCCTTATTCTAGCTGCAAGAATGTATGGTTAACTAGAGATTATACATGTCCTCCCTATGTTGATTAAGAAGCAACTATAGTAACAAGTAACATTTCATACAGGATAGTCTACAACGATAAATTATTAGATAGTCCTACTAACATTTTAAATGATTTTGCAGATTTCTGACTTCTTCGCTAACTCTTCTTCAAATTTTACATTAAGTAATAGCGATAATAAGCAAGTTCTTCATTCAAAAATAAGATGACGTCGGGCACTGATTGCATTCCGGCTTTTAAAGGACTGTGCGAGCGTCCTTACTCTACCATTTCCTGTTCTACTAAATACGTGCCTTAAATCTTGCACTGTGCCTGATATCTGGAATGCAGAATGCAGAGTTAGTTCCATTTCATTACTTTGCAATTTTTCTAAGGTTTTTGAAACACTCCTGTACAATAGATTATACAATCATTTAAAAAACAGTATAACATCAACATGAAAGGTCATTCTATCATCACTAATCTGACAAATATCACCCAAGTTATAGCTGAAAATCTATACTTGCTATCTCAAACTGATAGTGTCTATACCGATTTTTCGAAGGCGTTTGACAGACTTGACCATGGGATACTTATTTCTAATTTAAATGATCACTTCTATCTATCATTACTTCTAATCCATTTGATTTCATCTTGTCTAAAAGATCAGCGCCGATGTTCCTCAAGGCAGCAATTTAGGCCCCTATCTATTTAATATTTTTATTAATAACATTGTCAAAAGTGTTGATGCTAATTGCTTGTTATACGCTGACGATCTAAAGTTGTCCTGCGAAATTTATAGTATTCAGGACTGCCAAAACTGGTGTGTCCATAATAACTTGTCGTTAAATCCCATCAAGTGTAATGTCATGAGGTATTCACTTAGAAGTAATATCCAGCTACTTTTGTTGATCTAGGTGTCACTTTTGGCGCTAAACTCTTTTTCATTCCGCATATTGACTCCGCTGTGTCTGCCGCGAATAAAATGTACGGGTTTATAGCACGGAACCCTCGAGACTTAACGGATTTAGAAACTTTAAAGACTCTGTACTACGCATTTGTAAGATCTAAATTGGAATAGGGTGACATTATATGGAGTCCGTTTTACCAAGTCCACTCAAGAAAGCTAGAATCTGTACGACGAAAATTACTCTTGTCTTTCAGGCATCATAATAAGTATCCCCCAATTGATATAAGCAATACTTCGCTTCGTAATAGGCGGTATTCTTGTACAAAATTATTCATAAGTCAGGTTGTTGATCCGGGCCTCTTATCAAAATTGAACTTTGGTGTTTCCAGGCCTACCTCAAGAGTAGATCAAACCTTTTACCTTTCTACGCCGCGTACGAATATTTTAAAATTTTCTAACGTCCGCAGATCTGTGCAACTCGGCAAGTTTCCAGCTTGATATAATGTGACGTTAAAACATTTTTTAAGGAATAGCATATAATTATTTTCGTTTTATTTTACGTTGTATGAGCATTTTGCTGTCCTCTTGCATTTTTTAAAAAATTTGTTATTTATGTTCGTGTTCTGTAGTTGAGTTTATCCTGTGAACAGTTTATCTACATAAATAAATAAATAAACATGCGCATGCGCAAGATTTAAAATATCGTTTTTAACCAATGACCTTGGGGCATTTAACGACCAACATTGCTAGATCGTCAATAAGTTTGAATGTGGCATTTTTACGGTAGCATTTTCACAAAATATAAATAGATCTCGTTAAATTTTCTGGGAAAACGAGTTAAGTGGTTCGAATTACAAAAGAGAAAACTTTTACAGCGTATGCAACAGATAAAAATAAGTAAACAAGTTTAAGAGGTGTTCAATTCAATTAGCACAAAACTATATACAGTATGTCCCACTTAAGGACTGTACAACCCTGTGAAATGATTTTTTTTTGTTGGAAAGGTCTCTGAAAAATACATTAAAACCTTGTTTTGCTTATTGCTTCAAGTCATTGGGACTATTTAACAAGAGAGAAGAGAGAAGCACTATTAGGTATTTTTTAAAAAATAAATTGGCAACGAATTCTTATTCAGTTTTCATGTAGTCCTATATAAAAATTATTATGACTTCAGGTTGATGTTTAAGATTTTAGTGAGTTTTTGAGAGATCTAACCAAAAAATAAAAAAATTGAAAATCAAACCGTAATCAAGGATTTTACAACAATTTACAGCCTTAAGGGGGCGTAAACGATATTTCAAACACCCTGTATTGAAACATTATAAAAATTGGTATAGTTGGATTCTAAGTACTAACGAATAAGAATTCATTGCCAATTTATTTATTTTTTGAATCCCTAATAGTACTTCTCTCTTCACTCTCTTTTGTTAAATAGTCTCAGTTGGTCATAACTTTAAGTTGAATAAGCAAAACAAGGTTTTATTGCATTTTTTAGAGTCCCATCCAAAAAAAAATCAAAATCGAACCATAAACAAAGATTTTACAAGGGTGTACAGTTCTTGACTCGGACACAATGTTTATGGACTTTTCTACTTGCACGAACCGTATGCAGTATCGATTTATGATTTCTTTTTTAAAATTGCGCTTACGACTGATGAATACATAAGTTTTCGTAAAAAAACTTCAATAATTAAAAAAGTAATGAACGGCCACTGAAAAAAATTCGACCGGCAAAATTAACTTTATGCACTTCTTCGATCGACCAAATAATATCCCGGTCATCCCAACGGAAAACCTAATTAAGCGTGGGCGCACGGACGCGTGTCGCACACATACAGAATCCCAAATTATCTCAAATATCGATTTCTCCAACTGGGTTGCTGGAACCGTTACAAATGTTGCCGCCGATGCATTCCTCTAACTTTCTCTCGTCCGCGTCGAACCATATCTTCCGCCGCTATTAACTACTCACCATATGATCCTCGTGGTTGTGTCCTTCGTGGCCAGCGTGATCGTGCTGGGCCGACACGACAACGAAAACCAAACAGAAAATCAAACCCGCTTTGAAAATTTCCATTTTTACTGTACGAACACCGACGCGAAGCCTGAGAACAAACTAACGGAATATCGGCCGCACACGTTGCCCACTGCGACTCGAATAGGTGAGCGTCTAAACCCACAAAAGTTCACAGCCGACTGCCGTTCTCGCAGTGACGTGTGGTGAGAACGCCCCTCCGTCTTTCTGCGTGACACGAATTTGATGGTATGCCGGTGAACTGTACAATTTTCAGTTCTTCCATACGCGAAATGGGTAATTAAATTGGTGGAAACTTTTCGAGGTAGAACACCGATTCAGAAATTTTGCTGCTCGTAATTACAAGAAGGTTGCGGTATAAAAGGCGGTCATTTGTGGTTTCTTAAGGATCTCGAATAACAATATAATAGTTATTATGGCTTCTAGTTGTACGGAAAAGTCGAATCGCAAAGTTTTACTCAGAGTTTGCGACGATAATAATGCCAAGGATTATAAAATAATTAGTGACTGAGAATATCCCAAATTGCAAAAGATTTCCGTTGAAATGTTGTTTTTCTTAGTCGCGTCATCTGGTGGACAGTAGCCAAAACTAACCATGGGAACTATGATAAAGACACCCATGGATCCCTTCGTTGGTACAGTAACTCACCGCTAATACAACTAGGCAAAGATCTATGGTAAAAGTACATCAGACAAAGGCATTCAGAGAAAAACAAAAACTGTTTTCTGTACTCGGAGTTTAACAGATCCTTGGTTTTCGTTATTTATATGGGCAGCAGAATGGACTCGGTTGGTCAGTGACGGGAGGGAGAGGATCAAATTCACGTTGGACCCACAGTTTATTTTTTTCGATATCGTTATCTTTTATGTGTTGTTCTGTGACCAAAATAGAAAATATCTTGCCAACCGAGTTCAGTAATGGGCGAGTGTTGCTTATACACTTACCCAAGGGTACGTAAATTGTAAAGAAGATAGTTAGGGGGTACCTCGAATAACTTAAATTATTTATAAAATGATCAAATGTAAGGCAATGTAGGCCAAAAACCGTAGTTAATGGAAAAAAGCGTTCTTTTGGCCATACAATAACATTTACTAGTTATTAAAGCGATTCCAGGATATTTAGTTATTTTTCAAAGTAAACAGTGTTTTAATTATTACAAAATTTAGTCTGAAGTAAACCTGTTTGCAATCATAGAAGGAACCATTTTTGTAACCTTTTATCAATAAGGAATGTATTTTTTGGTGAGCATTTGAAATGAGGCTCCATATAAATAAGACTATACAGTTTTAAGGGAAATGGGAATAACTACAGAATTACTGTTACATGCTGATAATTCTAAACTGTCAAATGAACTATGTTGGTTGTTAAATCATAACTAAAAATAAAGTCATTTGTTAATTGTTTTAGTCATTTATACAGCATATATTTCTATATAAATTTGCATGTACGCAATTAGAACTATATAAAAGGCAAAACACTGCATACCTATATACAATACCCAATAGAAGAAAATATATAAAAAAAAACTCAGGCAAACAGGATATTATTGCTACTCTTCGATAAAAAATAAGTTTCAAGTAATTATTCTTCATTCCTAAAGAAATATCCATACAACTTAAACCGAAGGCGGTGAAAATATATAAGTACCAATTAAATGCCAATCAAGAACTATATGTAAAACTGACAATGCGGTATTGTTTTTCCTCCTTAAAATGTAAATCAATCTAACTCGCACAGGTATCACCACTGAAAAAAAAACAAATCAACAGTACCAGCTATCATGACTGTCTTAGAACTCTTTAAAAAAAAACTTTAACTCATGTCTCACACACTATACAATAATAGTTTGTGATGTAATTTCTGTGTTCTTCTTTAAAAAGTTGTCAATATACTCTTTCACTTGGTTTTCATCTAAAAAAAAAAAACAACTTAGAGACCTTCTAACAAAAATTGTAACAATATGCAATAGTTAGGGTAAAAATTTTTGAGATAAACAAATTTAGGAGACACTAATCAATAAAATCAAATCAAGTGAATATCTCAATGAAAACAAACCTTTATCCACTAAAGCATGGGATATACTTCTGGCTACACTCTTAAAGAGATCCCTTGACTCAAATCGTCTCTCGACATATGCTGGAGTCAAAAGTTTTACAACCAGTGTCCCAACTTCGTTTTTTCCTAGTCTTTTTAATTTCGGTTTACTGCTCTCACCATTTTGGATAGATCGTTTTTCTTCTAATTGTTTTAACTCATCACTGTTGTTCACATATTTGCTTTCATTTACTACTAACCCATCTGAATCCATTGCACTTTCATTTATTTCAAATCCATTTGATTCATTCATGCCTTCAGTACTTATAACAAAATCAGAATCATTAAGGTCATATTCATCTTTTATTTTCTCATCTCCATTTGAACGCTGCGGCTCCTCTCTTTCTGAACTGTAACTTCTCTTTTTATCATCCTTGTAATCTTGATCAGAGCTATGTCTACTTCTTTTGCTATCTTCATGCTCTTTATCAAAACTATGCCTTCGTTTTTTCTCGTCATTATGTTCTTTATCTGGGCTGTGTCTCCTTTTCTTATCGGCATCATGTCTATGATGTTTGTGTTTGTGCCTATCTTTATGCCTGTCATGTTTGTGATGACTATCTTTTTCTGTTGTATGGGATTTATGTTTATGGCTGTTGGAAGATTCATTTTTGGGGCTAACACCACTTTCTTCACCTTCTGAATCACCAAACAACACCTTCATATCTGTTGATTTATGTTTCTGAGACATATCTTGTTTTACATTACTCTTGAAGAAATCAACAATAGTTTTCTTATTATTGTTACCACTTTCATTTAACAATTCTTTTGCAGTCTTAAATCCTTGGCTCTTGGGACCATCATCTTTCACCTTGTTGTGCTGCTCTTTTTTAATGTTACGAAACAGATCAGTTAAAGTTTCATATTTGGCAGGCTTCGGTTGAAAATCCACTAGTTTCTCGTGCACTAATTTACTATCGGTGCATTTTTTGATACCAGAGATCTGAAAAAGAAAAAATCTGTGTCAACAGTATCCGATAGTCTAAAAATATCTAGGTTAAATTTACCGTACCACGCTGAAGTGCCCATTTAATTGGGTATCGCGATTTTGGGGCACTTTTCTAACCGCGAATATCCAAAATGCTTACTATCTACTATTTACGACGAACATACTTTTAACAAAAATGTCATTTTCCCAGTAAATCACAGATCGAAATTAGAGAAAAATGAAATAATATTCACAAACATAGAAAGCAAGTTGGTAAGTTTTGACGCGGAAGCTGCAATTCCAAAACAAGATGAAGAAGGAGAAAGTTTTGTACCACTAAACCGATCAGAAAGTTTTAAATGTTCAATAATTGCATTTAATTTTCTGCAAAATACTGAGTCAAACCTTTACTCGTGATCATAGAACATAGATCCCATGTTGATATCTATGGTTACACGAAATTATCAATCAGCTGTATAAGCTTCTAGTAGCCAAGTGTGCAGAGATCATTCGGCCGCTATACACAGAATAACATTTCTAACTCTTTTTCGTTTTTGAGCCAACAGTACAAGTATCATTCGTTACGTTTTCTAATAATACGGTGCGTGGGTAAGTGCCATTGCCAATAGAAGTAAAATGGAGTTGTCGGCAAAAAGACAATTTCCGAGTTAATTTGTGTGGAAAAATTTGAGTGTCCTTTCACAAGAAAAGATCCCATAGAAAGTACTTCAGAACATTTAGTTGTGATATTTAACCCAAATCAAATTACCAATTTTGCGATTCCATTCCTGTACATAGTCATAGATGTAGTTGATGAAAACACTTGGTACTCTAAATCAACAGAGCAATCTTCGACATCTTTTTTATCCAATGCCTGACTATCTCTCTGTTCACACTCCATATAGTTCAAATACAAGATATCCACGATTTTACTCAAATATTGCTCTCTTGTGGCCAAAGTTAAACCTTTGACTTTAGTGGAGCTCGAACTTGCAGCTTTGACGCGAGCATGCTTGGATAAAAGCTCATCGATGGTATTTTGAGACATTTCCTGCAATCCCAACCGTTTAAGTTTAATTTCGAGGGCATTTTGATTTATTCACCTGTGGATTTCTTCTTAAGGCAAATTGTTTTTGAATCAGAGTGGTAACTTCTTTTTTGACGGCTTGTTGTCGTTCGAACGCGTTATTGTCTCCATCACTATCGCCATCTTCATAGTTACGACTCTCGCTAAAATATAAGTGAAATGACAGCCTCCTTCGGTAAATTCAAAACAATCCGTACTCCCCGATTCCTTTGCGTCCTTCGCCGTACAAGTCTCCATAGTCCATTTCATTATAAGAGCTTGCGTGTGTGCTATACTGAACGCTCTTTAACACAAACCTTTCGACCATTTCCATCACCGATTTTTTATCTTTGCAAAAGTCGCACATGTTGCGGCAGTTGGGTGGTGGTTCCCCGAAGTAGTTGGAGAACAGCTTGTGTCTGCAGTCTCTATTATTAATAAGATCATTATTTTTGGCCTTCTAATTTAAACAATATAATATATTGGGAATAACATTTCAAACCATCTCTTTTAAGATTTTTACCAATAATTTACAGAAAGAGATTTTACTCACTGAGGATTTTCACAAAATTCAACCACTTGTCTGAAACCTTTTAAAGCATTTTCGGCCTTTATTTTTTTGCCTTCTTTGTTTCCAGATTTGGCTAAATCATGAGTTAAATGGTACTCAACAGCTTTAGCATCTCCCCGGTTATAATAAACCCGACACCAAGATGGTTTGCCATCTCTACCAGCTCTGCCAGATTCCTGATAAAATGAGGCAGGGTCTTTGGGAACTCCCCAATGAATTACAAATCTGAAAACATTTGATAAAGACCCAATATAAAGTAAATTATTATTCGCTTGCCTAACAGTGGCTTTATCAACTCCCATTCCAAAACTTATAGTGGCACAAATGACTGGAATATCTCCATGTTGCCATTTCTCCTGAAACTCAATCCTTTCATGATTTTTTAGGCCAGCATGATAGCAAAGCGTTTTAATTTGCATTTGATTCAACTTTGAAGCCAAGACTTCTGTTTGTTCTCTTGTTCGGCAGTAAATTATGCCACAGGATTTTTTTTCTTTGGGCACCTCATTTTCCTGCCCAACATTAAGGCACACAGCTATAAAGCTTTTAAGATGCAGAAATTGATTTTCCAGAATGTTTGGGAAGAATACATCATAAAATAGGTTGCTCCTAAAGCATGAAGTTTTGAAGACTTTGTGATCTTCCGACAGATGAAGACTGTTGATTATATCTTGCGTCACTTGTGCGCCGGCTGTAGCCGTCAAAGCGATACAAGGGACATTACAATTCTCACGTAGATTCCCAAGTTTTAGATAATCGGGCCGAAAATCATGACCCCACTCACTCACACAATGCGCCTCATCCACCACTATGTACGCTACCTTATTAAACCTGTACAAATTGTTAAACAAGTCCTTGAAAGTTCTGGTGGCAGCTTGTTCAGGCGTAACATAAAGTAATCTTGTATTTGGGGATGTTGATTTTAAATCACTTATGAGTCTCTCCCTTTCGGCTTTTGAAATTTTTGAGTTTAAAGATGCCGCCCTGATTTTTAAAGTGATCAAAGCATCCACCTGATCTTTTATAAGTGCCAATAGTGGAGAGAAGACTATAGTTATCATACTATCATGTAACACTGCAGGCAGTTGATAACAAAGGGATTTTCCTGAACCTGTGGGCATCGAAACGTAGACATCGCGTTTTCCTGTAAACGTAAATAACTTTAAAAAAACAGAAATAATTTACATATCAATATTACTTTGACATATTTCTATTATTGCTTCTTCCTGCAACTTGGACTTAAAGGTTTCAAACTTAAAGTATTTTTTCAATCCTTCTTTTACAGCGTTTTTATTCATATCAAGCAACTTTGTTATTTGCTCCAACTGTCTGTAGTATGGGAGAAATAATAATTAAAAAACAATTTTAACATTTGAAAACATTATAGGTTTTTTTTTTTTTTTTTTTTATTTACGCTTTATTTGGCCACTGCTGCTAAGGCAATTCGGCCAGCTTCTCGGTAGTGGTGTGCAATAAACTATTTCCATGAAGGATGCCTCCGTAAAGAGGGTCTGGGTGATACCATCATCCTACTGGACGGCTATACAGGAAAAAAAAAATGGACGAAAGAATTAGAAAATGTGAAAACAATATTCAAAGTTTTAATCCACATGCATCTAAAAAGCGGCAAACAATTCTAGCAGCAAAATCCAACTGAGTGCGGTGAAATAAAATGGAATTAATATGCAGAGGCGAAGGAAAATTAGCACTAATGAGTGACTCATACAACTGTTGTGATTTTTCCCAATGAAGAGCACAATCAAACAGCACATGACTTAAATCGCCCAGTTCTCCACATTCACAGTCTCCGGAGAGTTTGACTTTGATTCTATTTAGGTGAGCCGGAGAACAGCAATGGTTGCTTCTCAGTCTACACATAGTTGTGATTTCTCTTCTATTCAGGTCGAGCTTATGAAACCAGGGTTTAGTTGGCGGAGTAGAATAATGTGAGGTGAAATTAACTCCTTTCCCTAATCCTATATGTTTCCATCTGTCGCTCCAAGCATTCCAGATGTTATGCTTTAATTTAGGGAAGAATTCCCTAAAGCTCAATTTTATATTTTCCTGTGGTTCCAGGCGTGCAGCATTGGCGATCTGGTCCGCAATATCGTTTTCTTTTATACTGGTATGGCTTGGTATCCAGCATAATTGGATGTCCTTATTTTGCGTTTTTATTAAGGTAAATAGTTTATTCTTAACCTGCAAGGTTAGGTAGTTAGACTTTGCATCCATCCCAGTTTTATTGATATCTTCGAGGGCACTTTTGGAGTCTGAAAGGATGACTGCTTTGTTGATGTCCTTGAATTCAATCCAATCAAGAGCTTGACCAATAGCATAAATCTCGGCAGAGCAAATGGATAGTTCACTTGGTAGGCCTTGTCCCATTTTAAGGTTCGTATTGTAGTTGTAAACGCCAAAACCTACTCGGCCTTCTTTATCTTTTGAGGCGTCTGTAAAAATTAAATGAAAATCTGGGGTCCAAGTCTCGCTCTTCTTAATTTCAAATAATTTGGAGTTATTATTATCTTTCTTTAGTTTTAAGTCTTGGATTTGAACAGAGCTTAAAAGGTTCGGCAGTGGGCAAGAAAAACAGGGATAAACTGGGCTCCTGTAAAGTGTATCTAACAGTGAATCAACTCTTTCAAAAGCATCCACAAGTGCAGGAATACTCTTTTTCCGAAAAAAGTAATAGTTTTCATTATAGGTGATATATAACCATCTAACCGCAGCTAAGGTTTCACTGTCCACTAAACTGGCAGCTTTCAATAATGATTTAGTCGCTAGCATGTATCTTCTGTGTTCTAAATCCATTTCACTTGCTTCCCCTAGAAGTATGTTAGTAGGTGTGGACTTCATATATCCCAGAGCTATTCTCAGTGCCTCAAATTGAATTTTGTTAAGTTGAGCAATAGACTTTCTTGAGCTACCACCCAAAAAAGAGGCTCCATAATCCAAATGGGGTCTAACATAAGCTTTGTAAAAAGTTAGAAGGGTAGAGGGATGTGCCCCCCACCAGATTCTACTTATAAATCGCATCATATTCAACCCACCTGAAGCTTTCTGTATCATATTTCTAATTTGTGACTCCCATGACAGTTTTGGATCAAAAATCACTCCTAGATATGTGATGGAATTTGTCCATGCAATGGTTCGAGTGTTGAGGTGAAGTCTGGGGAGATAATTAACCTTGAAATTCTTCCTGGAAAAAAATATAGCTGCAGATTTATTGGGGTTAATCTCAAGTCCTACATTCAAAGACCAAATATGTATATTTTGCAAAGTTCTATTCAAATTGTTCACTATTGTTTGGGCATCAGTCCCAGTACTCAGCAAGGCGGTATCGTCCGCAAACTGTAAAAGTCTTATGTTCTCAGGAATTGTTTCTTTGATTGAATTGATGTAAATATTAAATAGTAATGGAGAGAGAGGGGAACCTTGGGGAACTCCCTTGCTAGTGGTTCTGCCTGACACGAATGTATTAGTAGATGGATCTTTAACTTGTATCTTCCTGTTCGTGAGAAAATCTTTAATGAGCAAAGTCAAATCTCTGGCGATTCCAATTTTGGCCAACACCGAGGTCAATAAGTCAACATTTATATTATCGTAGGCATTGGATATGTCCAAAGTCACCATTGCTGCTAGTTGATTGAGAGCCAAACGGCAGAGGACCTCTGAGGAGATAACTGCAAGATTGTCGAAAGTTCCCTTACCCTTTCTGAAACCGGTTTGGCGAACGTCTATTAAACCTTGGTTCTCTACGAACCATTCCAGTCGGTTTTTGATCATAATTTCAAAAGTTTTGCTTATGCAAGAAGCTAGGTTGATGGGCCTGTAGGACGATAACGCTGAGGGGTCTCTCCCCGGTTTAGGAATTGCGATCACCATTTGGGTTTTCCACGTCTCTGGAATGGTGGTTTCCCTCCGAAGTATTTTGTTGAAAAATTTGATAAGAAAGACTGCTCCTTCAACAGGGAGATGGCTGAGCACACTGAAAGGTACTTTATCCACACCGGGACTCTTGCTCTTCCGACCTTTAACGGCCGCGACAAATTCTGAGATATGGAAGTCTTCTGTATATTCTGATGAGAAGCGACATTCGGGGATATTAGGCAACCTAGAGGGAGGTTGCGTCAAAAGATCAAACATATCTTGTGGGATTGAGAAATTCAAGGGAAAATGATAATTTTGGTACCTGATACCTTTAGCAAACCTTCTAATACTGCTCCAAACTTCTTTTGCACTAGTATTTGGAGATAGATTCTCACAAAAGTTGACAAAGCATTCCTTTTTCTTCTTACGTAGCAGCTGTCTTGTTTGTGCCCGGGTTCTTAATGATTCCAGGAAGTTGGTCTCAGAGGGGTTGTTTTTATAGTCTCTGAATGCTTGTCTTTTCCTTTTAATAGCGTTGGTGCACTCATTATCCCACCAAGGTAACCCGTAGTTTAATGAGTGTTTATGCATTGGAACAGATTCTGCAATAGATAGGAAAATTATATTCATAAAATCCTCATAATTTATAGGAGGTGAAGTTCTAAATTTCGTGGAGATTAAATCAGAAAATTTCTCCCAGTCTGCCTTGTTGAAATTATATTTGCTAGTGTAGTTTCTTGTCGAACCTGAGTTGCAACGGTTATTTCCGATGATACACAAAATAGGAAAATGATCGCTATTCACTCTATCCTGGAGAACCCTGCAGTCAGTAAGTCCAGACAGTCTCTGGGAGCAAAAAGCTACATCTGGAGCGCTGTGTACGCCTGGGCGTGTGAGCCGAGTAGCTGATCCATCATTTAGTACCCACAAATCGTGATCCTTAATGAAATCATAAAGAATGTTCCCACTTCTAATTCCCCGTGAGTAACTGACCTGGGAACCCCATATTGGATTATGGGCATTAAAGTCTCCCATAACGAGGACGGGTTTATTACGGGTTAGATCGAAAATTGAATCGAGGCTTGCCCTGACCAAACAAATATCTGGAGGGTTGTAAACACTACAAATAAAAAAATCGACAAGCTCTACAAGAATAACCTGACACCTCTCTGGTATATTAATTCTGCTTAAGTCGATGATATTATATTTTATTTTGTTTTTCAAGAAAATTGCTATACCATCTGCACCATTAGGTTTATCTGCTCTTACAGAAGAGAACCCTGATATTTTAAAGTTAGTGTTGGGTTTGAGCAAGGTTTCATTGAGCAATAAGATCTGTAGCTTAAAATCCCTTATAACTCTAATGATAGCATCTTTATTTTTTTCAGCCCCGCAAATGTTCCAGTGAACGATATTCATTATAGCTCAACTATAAAACGCTTGTGACTAAAACTTAAACTTAGTTTTGTTACGTAAAAACTACTGTTAGATTAAAACTAGTGATAAGATTACCTTTGCTTTTTCTAACCCCTGTAGGTCAACCGCTGCCATCGCAGCCGCCCCCCCTCCGTAGGTCAAATGAACCAAAATATTGTTTGATATTGTTGACACAATTTTCATCCATACCCTTTATTGACATAACGTCTTTTTTGAAAGCTTCAAACTTGTTGCATACTTCTTCCCAGCCATTTCCTACAGGAGTTACTTCCATTTCCGACTCTGATGTCGAGTTTTCAACTACTTGTATAGATGAGACTTTTCTTCTTGCACTTGAGGGTAACAAAGTTAGTTCATGGGCTACTTTATCATACCCTTTGGTAAATTGGGTGTCAGGCCGTTTTCTTTTAAGTACTGATGTATATGAGGAACAGCCCTGAGGACTTGTTGGATGAGGAGGTTTATTCTGAGTTTTTTTATTTAAACTAGGAAAATCTTCTGGTTTTCGGGTAAAGCCTTGGTTTGCATTAATTAGCCGTGGATGCAGTTTAGCTGCTTCATAAAAAGAAAGGTTGTAGAAGCTCATGGTTTCGTTAATTTGTTTTTGCCGTTTGTATTCGGGACATCCCCAGTCAGTAGCAGTGTGGTGTCCCTTGCAATTTACGCAGCTTGGTTTTGGATTTACTTCACAATTTGGAATTTTACACGTTTTAGTCAGATTGTTAAGATGATCTGCAGGGCATTTCATTTTTTTCATTGCTTGCTCTCTTTTTTGACAAACAAACATAAGATGATCTTCTGTACAAAAACCGCAACGAGGCTTGCCTCTACAATTATTTTTGACATGTCCAAATCTGCAACAATTGACGCACATTATAACCGGGTTAACATATTTTTCCACTTCTCTTTCATTATTAAAAATATTTACAGTTTGGGGTAATGATTTGCCTTCAAATGTTACAATATAATCGTTTGTGGGGATGGTTTTCATTACTGTTTCACCAGAAATAGCAAGTATTTTCTTCCTTCTTAAGACTCTTTTTACATTTAATATCTTAATCAACCTGGCCCGGGATCCTTCTCCTGTATAAGCTACCGCTTCTGAGTAAAAATCCTCTTCCGTAATTTGGTCCCCTACATCCTTGATTAGTCCTCTACAAGTGACAAGACGTTGTGGAATGTACCTATTATAGCCTCTAGCAGAACTGAAACTTTCATTTGACAAAAACTGATTAGCATACTCTGATGTTCTGAATTCAATTCCAATTTTATTAGCCCCTTTTCTATTGATTTTTGTTATACCTTGTACTCCAGCTCTGTGCAAAATTTTTCCAATATTCATCGGGTGAATGTTTCCAACTTGAGAAGTTATTCCCTCCATTATGATAAGAAATGGTCCCTGGTCTGTAAGTTCATACTTATACTTTCGGTTAAGTGTTCTCCTTATGTTGACTGAAATTCTTGCAATTTCGTTTAGGGCATCCTGATCTTCCACGAAGACAGATTTAAGCTTTTGTAACTCTGTCTCCAATAAATCTATTTCCTCCCTAGTGGGTACTAAGAAGTATTGATGCTGAGCGATAGCATGTGCTGTTTTCTTAGCTAAAGGCGAAAGCGTCAAGGCTGATGAATAACCACTGCTAGAGGAGGTAGAAGCTTGGGACAAGTTTAGTTGAGCTTGAAAGGAATCAAAATCATTTGCAAACACTATCGGATTATTAACTACGATACGATCGTTTCTATCAGGGGGGTCTTTACCCCCCGAAGCACATGCCATGATATGAAAAGCGCTAAATTATTGCGAACTGCGACACCAAACCAAAGCAAATATTAACGGCTGACTAAATATAAAACTCACCCAGACCGAAAAATTCAGTTGAAGACTAGAATTACGTCAAAAAAATGAAAATTTTCTCGGACCGAGGTAAAATTGTGCACACCACTTCACCTGGTTGACCGAAAAAAGAAAAAAGACATTATAGGTTATGTCCCGATAAAAATATCAGTTTTGAATTATATTTCCTTTAGAAATAACCGCCAAAATTAGTCTTCTTCTTATATGGAAAGGAAGCTTCTTCTTTTTTTCTACATTTTTTTCCCGATAAGCAAGTAATGCGGGGACAATCGCGCATTTCCGACTTCCGTCGAGGTTTTCTGACTGCGATTATTAGTCGTAAACAAAATTTAGCTAGAGAAAAACAAAATAGAGCATAAACACAATAAACCAAGCAATACAAGCTCAGCACTACAAGCGTCCAAAAATGTACATATAGCTCTCGCAACGAATACCATGCCAAAAGCGGGAAGCAAATCTGATTCCAAATATATCGGTGCAGAGCTTGATACAACACTTCAAAGTTATTCCATTGTCTTGCACTGTCAAAAAGGATATGATGCAAATCACCCGTTTCCCCGCATTCTGTTGAGGTGGACTGGAGATAGGCAGTGATTTTTTTCTAGGCTTCTTCTTCCAAAACTAGGGTTACATCGGAGGGGTTACATAACGATAACTGTACATTCTGACCTTGTCCAGGATATCTCTTAATGCGACTATAAAAGTCAGTTTTATGTCTAATATATCTAGATTTGTAGAAAGATTGGTTACATTGTAAACAAAATCATTATTTTTTTATCTAATGATAAAAAAACCAGAATCTATCAGAAATTTAATCTTAACTTTACATGACCATAACTAATGACTGCGAATGCCGAATACTGTAGAGCGCGAAGAGTATTTTCTTTCTCTGTTATCTATGCGTTTGCATTTTTTGATAATTAACCAGATTATTTAAGATGTCAACCTTTAAATTAACGAATTCCCATTAGCATAAAGTTATGATATTTTACAGGGGAGACAAACGAGAATAATTATTTGAAGAAAATTAGTTCTACTATCTGATATCCAGGTAAAACTTTACCTAATAAAAAAAGTAATTAAACTTAATGACGACGTAAAGAATGAATTAGAATTAAATTTCATTTATTGTAATCGTATTTTTAATACATAAATGAACATAATATGATATTCAATTATATTGTTAAAATACCTTAAAATTTTGTGTCATTCACATAACATATATATACATATTCCATAAATTGTTCGACGCAATTTCGTATTTTCAGATTTGCCGAACATAGATTAAAAACGAAATTGAATACAAAGAAAAAGTGTCATTGCCTGTTTTCAAAGTTAAGATTACATTCTGATTATGAAAAAGTAAAAATAATTCTAGTGCCACACAGAAATTTGAGAGCGATTCTAGACAGCTGCCATCTAGGGCCAAAAACTACACGCATCGACGATCGCCAATAAATAAATTTCGTCTCGAATATCCGGCTCTGAAAGCGTAGTAGAAAATCTGTCATTTTTCCGATTTCTAAGCACACGTCCGCGTTTTAAGGAACTCTTCATATTTCTTACGACAAAAGCGATATTTTGTCCGTTTTTACCCAACAATAGATATTACTTTTACCCGAGTGACCACAGGAGAGGGTGTCCTTTTACAATAGTGGGATTTAATACGCGGACGAGATTTTTTGCCATCGTGTTTGTCGATTTAACAGCTGCCGTTTGAAATGAAAAATGATCGCCAAAGAATAACGTTTCTGCACAAATTAAACTCAGGCCACGAGATTGGTTACATTAACGCAGTGTATCACTTAAAATAATCATGTAAAATTAAAAAAAAAAATCTTATAAATGTAGATCCGGAAATGCTTAGAACCTTACGTCGTAGGCTACATGTGATCAACGAAGCTCAAGGAAGTAATATGTTTATTGTGTAACAACGGGCCCAAGTTCATGAAAATCCGTTTCGTCAATAGTTATAATTTTTGGGCTTGGAAAGGAGGCAAGAGACGAAATCAAAAGTTGAACTTATAGTGGCTTAGTAAAAGTAAATAACAAAAATTGCAAAAGAGTCAGTGGCGTACGTCTCTTTGACAACATTATTCGTTAAGATACTTGCCGTGGCGGCGCTGGGTTTCACAATTTTAATCTGGTTAAAGCAAAATTTGCCCCTTATCATTATCGTTGCCAACTTTAAACAAAATCGATCAAAAAATACTTAACGTATCTTAAAAAATCTGTTTTTTAATATATGTGTTCTGTTAATATGAACTTTTCTTCTTATTTTCAAAATATGAGCGTCGGCTACTGTTTTTTGAAATACTCTCTATAGAGACCCCTCTTGTTCTGTTAAGACAAGAACTTTTGCGCGGTCATTTAAAATCTCCCTTTCAACCAATAAGACCTTACGGCGTTAAAGATTCAACGTGGCAGTTGACAGTTTGCCAATTCGACAGTTTTCAGTTTAGATGTGGATGTGCTTGCAACCATATCATCTGATAAGTTGTATAGCTGTATACTGAATAATATAATAGGTGGTTAGTGATATTTCCTTAAAAAATGATTTTTCTGTGCATGCCTCCAAATTTTCAAAGTTATAAATATAAAAATACATAAAAAAATATTTAGAAATATATTTTGATATGTAGTCTTTATTAGAGAAAATGGTAGAAAAGCTGATTTCGATTAGAATTTGATCAAAATTCAGTTGGAAAAGGGTAGTTTCACTAATTTTTTGTATTTTTTCTTCAAATATCCTCTTTAGAGCTATCGTTCGAGCCAGAACATAAAGTTTTAGGTTTATAACTAAAATTGAGTGAAGTTTGATCGAAACCGACTTTTGTCAAAAAGCATTTTTGAAGTCTACACCGGTAAAAAAAGGAGCTTCAAGAAAAAGAAAATCTTGCCATTGAAAAAGAAAAAAGAATAAACGCGAAAAAAAAAACGGAGAGAGCTGAAAAACCAAAGGAAACTTAACGAACAGAAAAATAAAACTCGGAAAAGCATGACGAAAGAAAGAGTGAATGTGAAGCTATATTGTGTCCGCGATGTGAAGAGATCTACCAAGATCCACCAACGGAGGAGTGGATTCAATATTCGTTCTGCCAGCTATGGTGGCATGAGGCGTGCAGTAATTTTGATGGAATAAATGACTTTGTCTGTGACTTCTGTTAATTCTGACATGTTGGGTAGGATGACGAATTTGCATTTTTTTTTAAACTATACATTTTAAATATTTTGAGCTTACTGGATGTAACGATACTGTTTATTTTTGATAAGGAAGTTCCTAAGATTTTGTTATGAGAAAGTTTTGTGAGAATTTATAATAAATAACCAATAATATATATGTTTTTTCTTAACCTCGTCATCTTACCCGGTTTTCCCCTACGTTTACTGCAAGTTTGAGGTATCATTTCCATTATAAGAACTGGTGAAAAAGTTGATTTTAACTAGAATTGTAACCCAAGCCTGAACCCGTATTGGGACTGGTCAATTTATCACTTCTTAATTGACCGGTGAAATTCGATCAAAATGTCCAATTTACCTATAACCCCCTTCAAGGAATACCCGAATACGATAGCTAGCAATTCGGGGAATCCCAATAAAAAAATTACTCCATTTAGTTCTCAGAAAGACGGGATATTGATGCACAATATAAATAAATATACATTTCATTGCATTTTTAAAATCATCTTCAATATATCACGAATGGCGATATTTCTTGTCCATGTACAAATGTGACACTGGTGTAGCTAGTGCTTATCCCTACCAAATACGAATAATGTTATTTCTAAGTTACTGAAAAAAAATAATTTTTCAATGTACCATGAATAATTAAAAACTATCAGCATAACTAACATAAAAGGTTTGTCGAAACACGTAGAATCTATAATCAAAACCAAATACAGGGTAGTTAAAAAAATAATACTTTTCAAGCCATACTTTGGTGGTGAGTCCTATTTAATCATAAATATTTTTAGAGAGTTTTTTATGCCCCTACCATACATATCATTTTGCCACTAATATTACCAGGGAGGCGAAAACTCCATCGCCGGGACACCCAGTTCATTTAATAAACAAATAAATAGTTCTCCAGGATATTGAAATGAAAAAATAATGGGAATGGGACAAATAATTCTAACATCGTGCAAAATTTTATCATTTAAATTAGAAAAAAAAAATAATAAATTACCCAAAAGTAAACGATTTTCTATGGGCCCGATTTCAGATGTATTCGTCAACAATTAAATAAAGGGCCCGACATAAAGTAATTGAGAAACGGACGGGGTGTAAAATACAAATGGCAGTAAAAATGTCTTTATTGACAGACGCGGGGTACAACAGATTTGTTATGTTTGGTCAGGTTACATGCGTAACGAAAGGATTTTCTACCGACGACTGATTGAGGCAGAGGAAGTTTGTCTTCGCATTGTACTTTTACCGGTTTTCGCTGTCCCATTGTGACGAATCCGGAAGCATCTGTGTTGAAACACAAATATTGAGTTTTCGGCAGCCTGAATAGTACGTTTTCCGCCAATGACCGAATGTCTCAACTTGATTCAAAGCGGTATCAACCCGTTAATTTTTTGATGATTCCATGATTTGACTTTAAATTGAAATAAATAATGAATGTCGAGCTGTTTAGTCTGTGAAATAAGCTTTTACTTTTTACAAAACTTCTGGATTCCTCCTGCGTCGGTTTTTGCTAAGTCGAAATTGCTGACGTTTCGCCAATCATCTTGACTGAAACTGACTCGTATTTTACTCTGTACCTGCTTATATATTGTTTGAGGGGGGCGGAGCTAAATGAGGGGCATAAACATCGTCTCGGATGACTGATCCCCAAATTGGTGACAGGTAGAGACCTGAGTTGCGATTAACATTGTTGTTTATAGATTTCTATAGACTCTCTGTTTAGGCCCCTCATTTAGCTCTTGAGCTTAAATACGTTCAAACGACTGAAGAGACATCTCGTACTAAAGATGCAATACTGCGATACATTCTATAGATGGTTTAGATATATTGGCAACATTTCCATTAAGTTGGGGCGCTTCTTCTCCTCTTTCAAAATATTGTATTTATTGAAAACAACTAACACCTTAACAAAACAT